AGAAGATAAGATTATTTTTATTTAAACATAAAAACAGCATTTTAATAACAGCTAAAGGTGACATATATACTTTATTATGGTATAGTATTTAAATGTTTGCCTGAGAAACACATAATATTGGCCCTTTAAAATTGCCCCCAAATGTCACCAAAGCCAACCCCCCCCCCTCACACACACACACATACACACACATACACACACATTTGGGGTTTTAAAAGACATTCTTTGCTTTTTTTTATCTTGCATTCTTTAGAGACTATGGAAAAAAATGAGATGATTTGAAATTGATAAAAGACAAGTGGTTTTTATTTTTTTCAATTATGTGCGCTTTAAACTTAATTGATTTATGTTTGCAGATACTTGCTTCTCAACCCATTATGTGGCTTATTAGACCTTTTCATACCTGTTTACAAATATAACCTGGATGCAACCTTGGATCGTTGGACCAACCTTGGACATCGCTCTCCCCAGTGACACTTTCCAGCTCCAAGTGTTCTCAGGACAGAGAGGATGCATAATCCCTCCAGTGAGCCCTGACACCCTACGAAGGAAGCTCATTTTGTCTCCTTGTATTTGTGATCTTGTTCTTTTTGTTGTGATCCACGCCTCGTGATCATAAGCGAGAGCTGGAACAAAGTCAGACCAGTCAATTGAGAGCAACGCCCCCATTACAGAGGATGAGGCTCCAATCCGTCGATCCATCTCCCACTCACTGGTGAAAAAGACACTTGGATACTTGAACTCCTCTACATGAGGCAGAGACTCCACCTCTCATCCCAGCCGCTTCACACCCAGCTCCGAACCACCTCAGTGCAGGCTGACAGTCTTGACCCAAAGATGCCAACAGAACCACATCATCCGCATAAAGCAGAGATGAGACCCTGTGGTTCCCAAACCAGACATCCTCCTCTGTTTGTGGTTTTATATGTTTTGTAATCCATAAATTAAACCATAAAGATGAGGTCTGCCTTTTGTTACAGGACCATAATACAATGTATAATTAGTGTCGGTAAATAAAAAATGCTTTTGAATGTAATCACGAATCTGTTATAATTTCTAAAGTTGATCACTTTTTATCATTTTATTCACCTTTTGAAATGTTAGCACGGGTGTTATCATCTTTGACACCATTTCAAAAGACACTTCCTGTCAGATTTCACACAAATTCAAACCTGGGAAATATAATCAATACGTTGCACCCAGTAAGCTGAGCTGAACTGAATAAATTAGTTAAAATTAGAATTTATCAGAAATTTGAACCTTCTATTCCCATATGCTACTTGTACTGTATATTTGTCTGTGTGTACCTGTTTGCACAAATTAGTGTTTTTGCAGTCTTTGGGAACCAATTAGAGCTCGATCTTAGTCTCTTATTGATTTTCCAGCCAATAGCAATGAACCTCTGGCGTGAGGGACTATCGAGCAAACTTCTCCCAGCTCAGAGAGACCGTTGTTGCTATTTAGCAGAGCTCCTGTTCTAAAATTGGCTCAAAGGCTTGCCTGACTGTAGTGTCTAAAGTGAAGGAACAGAAAGATCTATATCCAGCAGTGTGTATTAGTGGTGAGGTCAGTTTCTCAGGAAAATAATAATCTCTGCTCTTTAGTTTAGAGAGGAACTCGAAGCTGCTGGAAAAGCAGCCTCAAAACAGGCATGATGTCTGATGCAGACAAACAAAACACTCGAAGAAAATGGAACGAAAATATTCATGTGTGGAAAATGTGAAATGGGTTCGGGTTTCTTTGTTTGAGCTTCTTCCCACGTCACATCAATATGTTCACTGCAGCGTGAAGTGTGAGAGGAAGGTGGAGAGCAGAGGACTGATAGTGGCAAAAGCTTGAGATTTGTCTTCTGAGGAAGGAATGAGGAGTGGAGGGAATGAAAAGGCAGAAGCATCGAGCAGGGCAATTTTTCCACAGACTGCTCTGTTTGTTTTCATGAAACTGAAGCAGGATGGTCGAGAGAGAGAGAGAGAGAGAGAGAGAAAGAGAGAGAGCTCTGTGTGGGTTATAGAAAGAGTTATTAGTGACCTTATTCTCTCACTCTCCCCTTCATCTTCTCTATAATAAACATCAAATATTTTTCTCTTTCATTTTCGGCTTCAAAAAGACAAAAGAAGTCCATTAGTTCTGATGCTGTTTTTGGCTGTGGTGCTTCTGCAGATGGATTGATTCAAATAAATGGTCCTCAGAGGTTATTGGCTGTCATGTTTTAAGAAACAATGAAAATATTTGATCTCGCCTGAAGTTTTAGGTTATCAGGGTGATGAGGTTTCATGTTCTGTAGTCAAACACTATTGATTGCTGCTCAGATTTATATTTGTTACATTGTGATTTAGAAACAAGGTTAAATAGTTAGAAGACAGAATCTTTTCACATCAAGATCTGTGTGATGTTTGGTGGACCATTGGTAGTTTAGGGAACGAGGGAAAAGACTTTCATGAAAATATTTGAGAAATTGACATAATGTTGCATTAACACACACACACACACACACACACACACACACACACACACACACANACACACACACACACACACACACACACACACACACACACACAAGAGGTATCTTTACGTGTCTCTCTCTCTGTGTGTGTGTGTGTGTGTGTGTGTGTGTGTGTGTGTCTGTGTGATTGTGCAGCACAGTATTTCTTTATACCTCTTGACCTGCGATAAAGCTGGTCAGGTTTCATCCCTGTTGTTTTTACAAAGCATCTCAGTCTATGTTATGTCTTCATCTGTGGATTCAGTTTACACACACAATCATCTGAGAGATTAGCACATTTCACACACTTTTTGGACTATTCTCTTAATCAAACCTTTTTATTGATCTGTAATCAGAAACATTATGGTTTGATTTAGTGAAATTTTTTTATCAGCAATAAAGCTGTTTGAATTTATTTATTTATTTTTAATAAAGTAGGATATTGGCTACCAGCAAGCTGTCACGATTTGTTGTGTGGAACCCAAAATGCAGGCCGACACGAGGACTTGAATGCAAAACAAAACTGATTTAATGAATGACAAAAGAAAAAGGCTGACGTGGCAGCAAAAATACAAAAGATAACATGGACAGAGACGAGGCATGAAAGACAATGATCCGACAGGGTAATGAAGACATGACACTGGTTAAATACAACTGAGGATGATTGGGAGTGGAAACACCTTGGTGAATACAGACTGGACAGGTGAGGGTGGCAGGCTGGAAAAACACTAAGAAGCTGCTGAGGATAACATGATACAGGAAATTGAGAAAACTAACAGGAAATAAGAAAATAAGACAAGATGACCAAACAATAAAACAGAAAAATTCTAACAACAACCATGAAACAATAATCATGACACAAGCTTTTATTTTTTTAAGCCCACTTTGGTCTATAGGGTGAGTCAAAAGTCTCAGGACACCCTTTTATTTTAAGAAACGAAAGGGAAAATGAAATATCTGAATATCCTGATGCATCTCAGTAATCCAGGTAGAAAAAAATCAAAAAGAAAAAATAAGTAGGTCCTCTGGATGGGTTCTTCTTTAGTGAAATGTTTCGTCTCTCCTCCAAGAGACTTCTTCAGTCTGATGAGTTTCAGGTGAACTCAGTCTTATAAGCACTGCCTCCACATGGACAAACAGGTTAGTCACATGCAAAAGAGGGCCATCTTCTAACAATAGGCTTGATAAGCTCTATTGTTCATGGAGGATCATGTGCCCCATCACCTGACTTATTGGTTTGGATGCTGTGGTTCTTAGGTGTCGTGTCATGTGTATGTAGTGAATGCAGGCGCAAATATCTGAAAACCTCAACAAGTTGAGTGTTGGAGGGTATCCGGAAACTTACTCCCCTAAGAGACTTACCCCCGGACACTTACCCCCTGGACACTTACCCCAAGTGTGCCCCAAGTTTTTTTAGGCCCCATCACCTATTACTGGTGGGGTCTTCAGATAGGTAATTTTCCTTTTTCTTTCTGAAATAAAAGTGTCCTGAGACTTTTGACTCACTCAATACATTGGAAGGTTAATGTGAATTGACCTGAACTTTTTGTCTTTTTCTCGTCTTTATCAAATAAAAAAACTGATAAACAGTTATAAAAAATAAAACAAATAGCCAACTTAAATACATAAATAATTATAATTTGAGATTTGAGATTTACATGAAAGGAAGCAGAAGAGAAGCAGGCTGTGATGCAGTCATTGTGAGATCAAACGAGCAAAAAGAAACAAAGATTAATTTGCTTTCATGAGAAGGAGGAGGAGAAAAGGAGCAACGATAAGCTGTTAGACAGTGCCTCAAACTTTAAAACAATTGTAACAAACTCAGAAACGTGTTCTTTCTGTGTTGAGCTGCTCTGAAACTCACTCCGGTTCGATGACGCAGCGCTTTGCTTCTGCTGATACAAACAGCCGCTGTCAGGCGGTAAATTGTGTCTGCTAACTCTTTGTGACTGAGGTGGGAGGAGAGGAGGAGCGAGAGGATGAGAGGGAGCTAAAACTGAATTCCTGCACTTCGGGCTTTTGATGTGTGGCAGCGAGCTGAGAAGAACAGAAGAAAAACAGGAACAGATTAAGGATAGAAGGAGAGAGAGAGAGATAAGTGAGGAATGACAGGTGAAGGAGGAGAAGGGATCAGGTAGAAGCACTCGTGGTAAATAAAGGGATGAGAGAGCGTGTAGATATCCCGCGTAGTACTAAAAATCTGAATTATGTGGCACTTTAGATGTCGTTTATCACAGTCAAGGCGAGGATACGTGCCTTCAAGCAACAATTCTTCACAGAAACCTGAAGCATAAACTTTAACTGCCTTTACCCAAGAAGAAATGAATAATCAGGATGAGACGTTTTTAAAACCCAACATAAAAACAAGTCAAAGATCACTGAGGAGACTTTCAAAAGAAACGACAATATCTTAGCTTGTGTTTTTTGTGTTTCACTGCAAGTTTACATTCTTCTTTTGTGGTTTGTCAAAAGTCAAAACAGGCACAAAAAATGTGGGTTAATGTCTCGTTTTCAGGTAAAGGTGATGGTGCGAGTGTGCCCGGTGTCTCCCTCCGACGCAGCAGAGTCCAGTTCTTTCCTGAAAGTGGATCCCAGAAAGAAGCAGATCACCATCATGGACCCGTCTGTCAATCAGACTGCGGGCGCCGCCTCCCAGAAGAGAGCAGGAACCAATCAGGTTCCGCCAAAGATGTTCAGCTTCGATGCTGCCTTCCCTCCTGATGCGTCCCAGGTGAGAGAGGCTTTTATAAAAAATGAAAGATTTAAAAACGTTTTAAAATAGAATATTTTATGACAAGTTTTTAATAGAAATGAAAACTACTCTATCAGAATCTGGCTGATTTTTACAGCTGTCGATGCTAAACAAGTTTTCCTTTGATTTGTTTTATTTTTTAGCCTTTTTTCGCCATATTTTAATTTTATCATAAATTACAGCGGTGCTTAAAATAGAGCCACTGATTCACTCACTATACTTTTTTCTTGATTATACTCACATAAATGGTCAAAATGAATTTCAATTTCTCTGCTGAGCGTGAAAAATGATAAAGCTGTATTCTTCTGAATCCAGGTTTTATGATTGATAATGATGATTTGATGATGATTTAGCATCCTTCATTGAAGGCGACCTATGACCTCGAGTTGAAAACTTTAACACTGAGAAATTAAATTTTAGAGTGAGCTAAAGATAAGTTACTTGTTTGTTTTTTTAATGGGAGTCAGTGGAACACAAAAAGCTCTGTATCATGTGTGACTGAAAGCTTGAGGCTGAAGTTATTACTGAGCAGCCGAGGTTCAAGGCTCCTAAATTAACAGGAGAAGAACACAGGTACATTTAAATATGTTTTTGAATATTGTGAAAAAGTTGGATTTTTTTTGTCAGTTCAGATAGTGAAACTTATATAGATTCATTACACCTGGAGTGAAATATTTCAAGTCTGTTGCTTGTAATTTTGATATGGCTTAAAATGAATGAAAACACAAACTTCAGTTCTCAGCACCGCAAAAAATGTCCACCTAACCAAGTTTTAAAATCTTATATCAGCCAAAAAGTCTTTTTGATCTTGTTTTGAAACTGATTTACTAAACAAGAACTAATTGTGTAAGAATAATCATCTTGTTTTCAGAATGTGTAAGATTATTTGTCTTGTTAGCCTGAAAATTTGACTCAAACTAAGTAAAAAATTTTCTGCCAATGGAGTAAGAAAATTTTACTTGGTAAGATTCTTAAAATACTTGATTTGGCTCAATTTTTTCTTATTTCAAGAATCTTACCAAGAGTAAGTTTAGTAAATCAGTTTCAAAACAAGATCAAAAAGACTTTTTGGCTGATATAAGATTTTAAAACTTGGTAAAATGAACAGTTATTGCAGTGAGAAAATCAGAACATGGCGACTTTTGGCAGTCTGGGCAGGAGTGAAGTCCTGTATAAAACTGAAATATGTTCTTTTCTTAAAGCTTGTCAGCATGAAGTGGCTCAAATGTCCTGGCAGACATCTGCTCTGACTTTGGACTTGATAAAACCCAGAGGACCAGCACCTGCAGAGACAGGTGCCCTTAAATTATCACTGACTGTTGAAACTTCACACTGGACTTCAACAACAGGGATTCTGGGCCTCCAGACTTTGGGAACCTGATTTCCAAATGACTTTCATCTGAAAAGAGGACACTGACCCACTGAGTAGTCCAGTTCTTTGTCCCCTCAGCCCACGCAGGACACTTGTGACGTCTCTGGTTCAGGAGTGGCTTGCCCATGTCTAGAGTTAATTAGGACTTTGCTGCTGCCCAGACTGCCAAAAGTATAATTAAAAGCCTAATTAATTTTCTGAGACACTGAAGTTTGTTTTTTTCATTATTTGTAAGCCATAATCATCAAAATTACAAGAAATACAGACTTGAAATGTTTCCATCTATGTGTAATGAGTCTATTGGATATGAGTTTCACTTTCTGAACATTTTCACATTATTCAATTATTTTAGATGCAGCTGTATATAAAATTTAATTACAATATAATAAAATATAAAATCTTATACTATTAGAAAGCCTGTTTCCCTTTTCAATGGTGCCACATTTGTAAGGAACATGCATTTGTGGGATGAGCAGTTGAGCTCAGTATGTGGTTTCTGCACATGAAAATCTGCTCAGTCAAACAGCTTATTCTGTTGTTGTTGTGGACTCTTGTTTTGAGCTTCGGGTATATTGGGTGATAAGACTTATTGCCAACAAGTACTGTTACAACAAAGAAATAATCTTCCAAACCCAAATTTCCTTATGTTTTGTGCTAAGTATACACTCTAAAAATGAAATGTTGGATTTACTTAACCATGATATGTTACCTGGTTCCACTTAACTGAGTTGAGTAAAGTCAAAGCAATATACTCATGTTCTTTGGTTAAAAAACTGGTATATTGCTTTGAATTTACTCAACTCAGTTAAGTGGAACAAGGTAACATAACATGGTTAAGTAAATCCAACATTTCATCTTTTACAGTGTAGAAGTATGAATGGAGAATAAGCAGAAATATTTTATATTGTGTTTTGATTTTGACTTTATGATACTTGACAGTTTTTGTGACGGACTAAAAGGCAGATGTTAGTTAGAAAATACCTTTTACTTTTAATATAGATTTTGGTGTCTGTAAAGGTATTTCCTTTCTTTATTTAATCGTTTATCTTTTTGTCAGGCGGAGGTCTGTGCAGGAACGGTTGCTGAGGTCATTCAGTCTGTGGTGAACGGAGCTGATGGCTGTGTCTTCTGCTTTGGACACTCCAAACTGGGTAACAATCTCTCTCTCTCTTGTGCACACACACACACACACACACATACACACAAACATAAGCAACAGAATGAAAGCGTGTGTGGCTCGTGAGTCATCCTTCATATGTGTGTCTGAGCGTCAGTCCTTCACTTGGCCGACTCTCCACTGGCCCTCGTTTATCAGAGACAGAAGAGGATTAGTGTCTGTTCGCCTGAAAGCTTCCTCAGTCTGCTCTGACTCTGTTTCTGTCTTCCTCTTTCACTCCTTAATCCCTCTGAAGCTGATTTTTAGAGAAGCCGTCTTAAAAAGGGGTCAAGACCCTTCGTTGCACACTGCCACACTTCTGAACCCAAACTTGCTGGCATGAACAAAGAGCCAACTACACAGAGACACGGTGACAGGCGATCCTCAACTCTGGACCGGTCCCTGTTGTGTTTATCCCAGTGCATGAAAGCAGATTTATCCTTCTTGGTTTGTGATCTGCACACATCCAGCTGGAGTTTTCTCTGAGTCTCCTTAAAGTGCGGGACAAAAAGATGATTGCAGAGAATTAAAGTGTGGCGTATCAGCAGGGCAGCATGTCTGTGACAATAACTGAGTCATTTCAGAAGAATCCCCTTTGCGACTCAAACATCTGTGGTTTATAAACTCTAAATCTGCTTAAATTGACAAAACCTGCTCACAGTTTAATGCTCTGAGTCGAAGAACAAATGGGGGTCAAGAATAGGCCTGGTTACCCTCTGCAATTTTAAATGTTATTTATAGAATGTAGTTTTTATTTCAAAAGACTTTTCATTTAGCAACTGATTCAGCAGCTCCACACCTCTTTAAAAGCTAATATTTATCACTCTGCTCTTTAAAATAAGGCAAAGTTCAGTTACTTTTGAAGATTTGAAATATAAATTGCAGTACTTCTACATAAATAGTGATGAAATTATTTTATAACTGTTTTATAAATGCTTGTCTTTCATGCCTATTTTTCAAGTTCAAGTTCAAGTTCACGTTTATTTATTTAGCGCCATGTCACAACATACATTGTCTCGGCACTGTACATAAAAAGAATAATCTAAAGAAGAAACCAGCAGATTGTGTTGAATCACTTCATCACAGTCTCCCATCCTGAGCAAACGGTGGAGAGGAAAAACTCCCTGCTAATCAGGAAGAAACCTCCAGCAGAACCAGGCTCAGGACAGGCGGCCATCTGCCTCGACCGGCTGGTTGAGGGACAGGAAAGAGACACAGACAAACACAGAAGAACTGGTCCAGGACTGATCCAGGTGCACCTTCTTCTGGAAGACAAAGAAAAAACATGATAGAAATAAAAACAATAAACATGTAGAGAAGAGAGACTAAAGACAACAGCAGAGTGAGGAAATGTGCTCAGTTTGTGCTCCAGCAGTCTAAGTCTATAGCAGCAGAAATGAAGAATAATTCTGGAAACCTAAGTCTAGCTATAGGATTTATCAAAAAGGAAAGTCTTCAGTCTAATCTTAAAAGTAGACAGAGTGTCAGCCTCACGGACAGAAACTGGAAGTTGGTTCCACAAGAGAGGAGCTTGATAACTGAAAGCTCTGCCTCCCATTCTACTTTTAGAAACTCCAGGAACCACAAGTAAACCTGCAGTCTGAGAGTGAAGTGCTGTGTTAGGAAAGTATGGAACAATAAGATGTTTAATATATGATGGAGCTTGGTTGTTAAGAGCTTTGTATGTTAGGAGTAATATTTTAAATTATATTCTGAATTTGACAGTGGAGAGAAGCTAAAACTGGAGAAATATGATCTCTCCTTCCAACTCTCATTAAAACTCTAGCAGCAGCATTTTGGATTAACTGAAGACTTCTTAAAGAGTTTTTTGGAGCCCAGATAATAAAGAATTACAGTAATCCAGTCGAGACGTGATAAATGCATGAATCAGTTTTTCTGCATTCATGCATTCATTGATCACAAGGGAAAAAAAGGATCTGGTATATTAAAAATACTGATAATTGTACAAAATTACAATAAGAACACAAATTCAAAATAAGAGTAATTGCTAAACAAAAAAGTGCTGCATAATAAAAAAACAAAAAACAAACAAGCTATCAGAACTTTTTCTCAGCAAATCGACATTACAAAGATCACATGCAAACAATTTTCACTACACTCAACAGCCTGACTGATACGTCCGATTTCACCATGTTTACATGTTATCAATCAGCTGTTAAATATTGATATAAGAAACGTGACAATGGTCATAATCAACTGTAAAACAGGACTGTCACTGGAACTAAAGCCTCCTGTAACTGCCTGTGTTTGATCATGTCAGTGATGCTGCAGACACTTTTATTGGATGTTTCTGATGCAGCAGGCTGTTGTTGCTGGAGATTTGAACCAGTTTTACTGTAATGAGCAGGCACGTTTTAGCTTCAAGAGCTGCAGCTGTATAAGTATATGAGATCATCCTCTGTGATCCAGCTCGCCCGAGGCCATGAATCTTAACGGGGCTGCCTTGTAATGGGATTACGTATGGTTTTAATAAAATAAAATAAAATGTGCAAAATAACTCAATTTATCTTAAGCTCTGAGGCCCTGGGCTGCTGACGCATACAGTGGGGGTCATGATGAGGCAAAAAATGTTTCATTGTAAAATAAAAATAAATCAAACCTGAGCAATGTTTAAGTTGAGTCAGATAGATTTTGTTGTTTGTTGTTCACTCACACTTGTCCCAGAACTCACAGTGTCCTTCCTTCTTCTTGCTCACCTTGTTTAGTCTCCAACAGCATCAGTCTCCTGGCATGATGTCACCAATTCTAAGGAGTTAACATCACCTATAAATACATGGAAACTGGAGTGATAATAAAAAAGCAAAAAAAAATTTTTTTTAAAGCTCTAAACATCATGTTAATCTTTTTTTAAGTTATTATATATTACATGCTTATAAAGAAAATTTAGCAACAGTGGTTCTTTAGAAAGAGATGTGTAAATCATACCTCCTCATGTGAAATATAAATGATAAAAAAATTAAGTCAAAATAATTATGAAAATAATATAAAGTAAATGATTTTATACAGCAAGACACTTCTGATTTGTTAAATAAAAATAAAACCTTCGAACAATGGAGTTTTGGAAGAAGAGCTTGGCCTTCAACATTTTTGCATCAATTTTTGGTTTGATTTTGAAGAACTTGTACATTGTGCAACTTAAGAAAAAGTACTTCTATATAATTTAGATGCTAAAGCGTTAAAACACCTTGTTTTGACTGAATTTGTTCCTTGAAACATTGACAGAGATCAATGTAAAACTAACACTCATCTGACAGCCTCTCCTTCATCTTCCTCTTCAACAAACCAGGTACATTTCTCAACGCTGTGTCTCCGGAGTCAGGCTTTTGATGTCCTGTGTTTACCACGTGTGGAGTTGTTAGTTGTGACATATGGCTTTGTTTAGGTGTGTGTTTGATCCCCAACTTCTGACAGCCGGAGCAGATGTGGGAGGAGGATAATCATCACCTTCTGACTGGAGAGACACACTCAGATATTTCACACTCACACCTTTTTTTATATTCTCATTTCTTTTCCACCTCCAGGGAGCATTTTTTTAAAATAAATTTCCCCTTTGATGGAGCTCCATTTTACTCTCTTCATCCTCACTGTTTTTTGTCTTTCAGGAAAATCATACACAATGATTGGCCATGATGACTCTCTTCAGACTCTGGGTATTATCCCCTGTGCCATCTCCTGGTTGTTTAAGCTCATCAATGAAAGAAAGGAGAAAACAGGAGCGCGCTTTTCTGTTCGCGTCTCTGCTGTTGAGGTGAGTGATGAAACCTGAGCCGTTATCAAAGTCATTAAGTTTGACCAGGACGGCTCAATGCAGTGACACTACCTGTAGTAGTAGCAGTGTGTAGTCTGAGATCTAAACTTTCCTTATTAAATGGTCAATCCAGTCTATGTTGGTTTGTTGAACTAGATTCAATCTTTGGTAAAGGAAATGATAAAAGGTGTTTTTCTGCAGGTTTGGGGAAAGGAAGAGAACTTGAAGGATTTGCTGTCTGAGGTGGCCACGGGAAGCTTACAAGACGGGCAGTCACCTGGAGTCTATCTGTGTGAGGATCCTATCTGTGGCATGCAGGTACACCAGCAAACTGAATGCACTTTGAACGAAACACAGCTCAGAGTGGCTTCATGTAATGTGGCTGCTCTGGAATATATATTTATCTGGAGTGTGCATGGACATCCTCGGAGCTTTTATCAGTTTGTTTTGTCTTTTCAGCCTCCAGCTGTAGGTTTTCTGTTGTCTTTAGAGGATGAATACCCAGAGACACTTCTAAGGAGCTGATACTGTAGTGATAATAAGAACTCCTGTTTTATTACATATAAATTTAAATTTAATTTTAAATCATATAAATTGTTTAAGAACAAAAATAGCCAAATCAATTGGAGTCCTGTACAAAGTAAGAGAACTGTTCAATGATAAAGCACTGTTTATGTTGTATAACGCTATA